TCTCGAAGAAGAAACACAAGAAAGGTTAGGTAAGTATTTTAAAATGACACTTCAAATCAAGCCAGTGCAACTCAATTTTGATATCTTGACTTGCAAAGGAAATACGTAAGTAAGTTGAACTATATTTTATTACGCGGTGGGGAGATAACGCACTTTGGTGGCGAGATCGATTACATATAAGTGGTGAGTCTTCCTGATGGCGAGGTGACTGCACACCACCCATACTGCAAAAAAGATGGAAGGGGGAGAAGGAGGGTCGGTCAGTAGTTTTCCATTAGAACTCGCGATAATTTGTAGAAAGAACATTTTATTGCTATGGAAGCTACCAGATAGTCTCATGAGTGTCTTGTGATCATTGCTCAAATAATTTTGGAAGCAAATGACCAGGTCACCGTTTAGGTTGACCCTTCCGGGCTCACTGCCTTTTCTCATTAACTGAGGATCTGAGTTGATAACTGAATATATTTTTCAGAAATATAACGCGCCCTCTGATCTGTTCAAAGACCGGGTTTTATCAGAGTACAAAGCACTTGTTTGAAAATAGTAGTAGGTTCATGATGTATGAATCGTTGACTACTTGAAATTTAGAAGATTTTGAAATTGTACCATTTTAAGGTTAAAATATTCTATTGAAGAATGCTGTTAGGACATATCAACACTCATAAATAATATCTGTTCGCAATGATTGTATTGGTAGCCAGTACATGGTAGAAACATAAACGGGAAGTACTTTATTTTTAGAGAGAAGTAAGTGTTGGTTTTATACATACGAACGATCTGAAAACACCTGGTACATTGCAAATTTACTTTCTATCTCCATTGAGGGGTTTATTGTAAAGTGACGATCTGCTCCCCCTTTACGTTGTCAAATGTCAATACGTAAGTCATAGAAGTAAAAATAAACTTTCACCAATTACTCGCGGGAGGGGATGTGAGTTTGCGTGTTACAGTTTGATTAATCTGCACGTTTCTGGCAAAGGCTGCATAGCTCCACACTCACAGGGTCTGTTTTGTTTTTGTTGTTGCTTTTTATGCTTTCCTTTTCCTAAAGCCAATAAGAACACGAAACATGTCACGGGGATTTATCCGATTAACATGACACCAAAGTGATTGCACCATGCAACATTTCGGTTTCAGTTGTGTTACAACGGTTCAACCATATGGGCGCAGGGTTACACAGGAAAGAGTGCCTTTTTCATGATAAGTAGCTAGCTAATTAAAGTAAATTTCAGGGGCAAAGTTTAGATTCCGATTCCGATTCCAAATTCTGGTTTAGATTCTGAGGCCAGAATTTATGATATCTGATTTCGTGTCCTAACCAAAGACAATCGACTAAATCGCCAATGTATCGCTCCAAATCACATATCGTTCGAATATCGTCTATAAATCGCCCATTAATTTTTGTATTACTTTTGCACGGTAATATACTCCCATAGAGGTAAATTGATGGTCTCGCCAAAGAAAGAAACAGGCAAGTAAGCGCATATTCAGCGGTACTAAGAATTTGAAAATATGAATAGGGTTTGGTTAGGTTATAATTTGGTGTTTATCATTATAAGCCAAAGTCTACACGGAAGATATGCAACGACAAAGAACATTTTAATATCAATAATTACAATAGAAACAGCTGTTCAGAATCTTTCAAGCACTTAGCCATTTTCAATCTTTTATAAAAATTTCAGATAATACTTATTAATAATAACTGAACTAAAGAATGCGGTGGATATTCGCTCGGATTTAAATAGTTTTCAAGCGCTCGCAGAGCACCGCTTTTGATATGCCTGCCCTAAATTCTGGCATCCGCACTGCATAAAGTAAAGGATTTATTAGCGAGTTGGCCAAGAATAATGTTAATATAGTGCAGGAAATTTGAAAATCGGAGGAAAACTTTGGAAAGGCCATGATATGAAGGTAGGTGATACCCTCGTAAATAGAAATTGGTAGAAAAGTTAAAACCGATGCACAGGTAACCAGAAACAAAGTTATCGTCAGTTTTCTTTCTCTACGACTGGCCTCACCATGCTGTTTAGGACGACCATCACAATGCACTTTGATAAAAATGAGGATATAACATAAGCAAATAACTAAGATAAGAATGGGATAAAAGGAATAAACCCAGATATGATTCAAAGGCCAATTGGTTAATCCTTCTATTGCACCCTTGCATACTGTTAAAAAATAAATTAAAGCTATAACTACTCCATAAACCCATTTCTTGATAAAACGATGCTTGAAAGGGCGATATGTTGCGTGTGCTCTTTCCAACGAAATGAAAGTGAGATTAACAAGAGATGCAAAGGGGAAAAAAGGACGTATTGCTAAGTTTATTCCTAAATAAGTTATATCATAACCCTCTAGCTCTCCATAGCACCAAATCATTTTTAAATGAATCTGCATCGGCCCTGATACTGCCCCTACTAACAAATCAACTATGACCAGATGGATGATCAAGTATGTACTTCGGCGTTGTAACTGCCGCTGCTTTACAAATACAGTAATGGTGATGAGGTTAAGGATGACTATGGCCAGACATTCAGTGCTGTGCAAAACAAGCCATGGGATACAGGTAGAAGATGGAAGCGGCCACGGGCGCACCTGAGAAGTGTTGCTGGAATTGGTAGCCATTGAGGTCCACAGAAGTTCGTTTACCGTGAGCCAAATAATCTAAACACGAATGACAGAATACAGTTCACATAAAGTAACAACATTAATTCGGAAAAGGACTATGACTATCGTTCATGATCTTTCAATTTGTCGGAGTGTTGAGTTATGCCAGACTAGGAATCGACGAAATTTGTTCGCCGATTGTCACGAGTAATGCTAAACAATTGTCACAGACCGTAGGTGACTTATCTTTGCCTATTACTGGATTTGTTTGTTCCGTTTGCGTACTTGTAAGGAAGTTCAGTTTTTGTTCAAAAGAAAACATAAAACAGAAAGCAGAAATAAAAAAAATATATTAAGTACAAAATTGGAAGATATCGCGTTATGAGTAGTCGTAGCACAGACTTACCATTAGGAATTCTCCATTGGGTAATTTTCGGAAGATATAAGATCTTCAGTATCCGAAACAGAAAAATTAATTTCTTAATAAAATACACTTTATGAATAATCACATTTTGTACGAATTATCAAATGGTGAAAAATAAATATGCTTTGAGTTATAGAGTGTAAGTCGTTGTCAAAACATGTCAGCGTCCTATTGTTAACTACTCGAAATAATTAGGCAAAGTTCAATAAATAGAGCTTGACAAATTTCCTCGAAGCACATAACCTCTGAATTTTAGTAAAAAACTGCAAGCGACGACATGAAAAAAATTAAGATTCGCATCAGACTAAATGGTGCTAACATGACTAAATAATACGCGACTTTACTAATTCTGCGTCCAAATGAATGGGGTTGGCCAACCCCGGCACCTTGTCTCTCAGGGAGCAAGTAGTTCGCGCGGCCTCGATCTTTGTTGTTGTTGGGTGAGATGCAGCATACATTTCCAATACCTCGACTGTATTCATGAGTCGCACCGCCTGTTTAAGGTCTCTAATATAATATATTCACGAGTCGATCGGTGAGTCTCATTAAAACTTTTTTCGTGACGGTTTAACAATTCTTACATTCAGCAGTCCGTTATAAAATGTTTAAATGTTTCCTTACACCTTCCATTCCATCCCCATGGAGGTAGACCCTCTGGAGCTCAAATGAAAAGGGTCGAAAAGTAATTAAGCCGAAGAATAATCAATTCTGAAAACAGTGGGAATTTAAGACCCTAAAGCGACGGAATCAGCGTCAGAGTAACGTAAAATGCAATTTTCAAATAATTGAGAAGAATATGCTACCTTTCTATAACATCAAGTAATGGTTAGAGATTCTAGTCTTCTCGGATAGGGACTAATGGAGGCCCGTTCTCCTACAGGGTTAGGGGTAGGAGACGTTAATTTCCCACGTACGAGATGACTGTGTGATGGATGTCCTTCCCTGGGGTGGGATGGGTGGGATTTATTGGGTGGACTACTCGCATGGTTTGCATATGTTCCGTTCTAGTCCTACCCTACTGCGGTAATGCACTGAAAATGGTCAGAAAATGGTTAGGTTGTGCGCGCAATGCATGATTTCCAGTGGAGCATTGTCAAGTTCACAGAGAGCGAAGCAAGAATGGCTTCTCGATTCGCTTCATCGACCCAGCGGGAAATTGAGAAATTACTTGAAGACAAAGATTCGGAGAATTCTAAAAAGATCGAAAAAAGTGGCGAAGGAACTGTTCTACGAATACCTTAAAGAGAAAAATATCCTGGAGCCACACGACAAAAAGGAATTAGCTCCAGTGAAAATTTGTTTACCACACCGTTGCACATTTTTAAGTGTTCGAAAATAAACTGTTTTCGCTGTGATAATGCAATTGGCGTTATTCTCTTTAAAACAATGTATAATAAAACAATTATTGGATTCGGTTTTTGTGATATCCGGAACAATCAAGGTCTCGGTCAATGTTATCAGCCTCAGCCTTCGGCTTTGGTTGATAACGCTTACCTCGACCTTGATTATTCCGGATATCACAAAAACCTCATCCAATAATTGTTTATTATTCACTGAGTGAAAAATAATCAATTCGGAAAATTACGGAAATTATAAACTAAACTTTATGTAAGAATCAAACATCTTGGGAAATGAAAATTTGAAATCTCCCTTGATCCGCTTCAAATTTTGCATGCAGCAATTTTGCATGCAGCAATTTTGCATGCAGGGAGAATTCACAAAAATGCCTTATTAAGGTTGCAGTACTCCTGTTGTCATGGTAACACAGGCTGTTTGTTTGCGGCCTGGGGCCTCGTTTTCTTTGAAAAGCATCGCCAAAAAGGTTAAATGTTGTCTGTTTACGAGCGTTCAATTGTGGTTTTCCTGTTATTTTTTGTTTGTTTGTTTTTACTGCAGAATGCCCAAAAATAGGCTGAAACTGTCTCCGTCTTCTCTGGAGCGACCAATGGAAAGTTTATGTTGAAAGACAGCGTCAAGCCATCGATCGTAATAATGTACATGTTTACTGACAAATGATCGGTGTTAAGATAGTTTCCTTTGTATCAGCGAAATTGAACATGGTGTTGCAAATGACCTAACATTATAGCAGTGCATCGTCAGAGGATTTCGCTTTGCTCGAATTCCCATGAAAGAAGGTATAACACTCGGAATCTGGACAATATGCATATGAAGTAATTCAGATAAACGTTTTCCCTGTGTTGCCCTAATAGTTTTCATCGGCTTACCTTGAATGAATAAAATGTTAATGTATGAGAAAAGAAAATGACCACGTACAACTTTAAGTTCTCGCTCTTGATAAAGAGTGAATTATTGATGCAGTAACTCTCTATTAAATTTAGAAGATAAATCCAATTGAAACTAACGACACTTGAAATATTTCCATTCATATCTGACCAAGAGGTGTTAACATAAATAAGTGATTGAGTAATGTGTTGTATAAAAAGAAAATAGAATGAAAAATTGCCAGGCGAACTTCAAGTTGCCCATGCACCGACCAAGTGGTCTCCGGCTATTCACATTTGCTCAATTCGTATCAAAAGAGGCCTATGAGAGGATCTCAATAGGGTGAACTGTTAGCCATAAAACGGTCCCGGAAAAGATAAGCCGATAGGCCTGCACAATTGACAAAATTTAACCGTTAATTTTAGTCACAAACCATGGAAAGATATTAACCGGTAGCGATTGAGACTCATATCATCTTTGGATCTTTTTTCATTCATAAAGGCTTTAGTTATTTTCTTAAACAACCATTATGCTATTTGCTACAAGCATAAAGAGACCAACAGAGATGAGCGACTTTTGAAACGGTTATTGAGGATCTCTCAACATGATTAACGTGTGGTATAATATTAGGCATTTGCGGTAGGTTTTTTTTCACATTTATAAAGTTCAATTACATACCTTAGGTGATTGCCAAGCTTTTTTTTGTTTAGGAAAGAAAGTTATGACCAAAGAATTGCCACAGCAGTCTCAAACAGCGTCCAAGATCACTCGAATCAATAAAAGAAGAGGAGGACTTCTGCCAAGCTTGATTACTTTATGTGAAAACCCGCATCAAGATCCCTCAATTTATGAAGTTTTCCTGCGAAATGCGCAATGGTTAAGTTGAATGAACTAATAGTATAAATAAGTTAAGACATCAAAGGACCTCCTACACCACAGCTGTAGACATTGTTCTCGCCTTCTTTTCCACAAATACTTCTTAAATAGCCTTGAATGGGCATTTTGGTAGGAGGGACTGAATATCTTTTCAAGGTAGATCTTACAGTTTTGTTTTAGATTCCGTTATTCTGCTTTTTATGAAATCGTAAGCCATGGAAACATCAATAGAATCTGATAAAAAAAATTGTTTCAATCCTCTTACACTCCATTTACCTCTTGCTTTCTTCGATGATTTGAATTTATGTTTTTTCTTTTACTTCAGATGAGTGGCAATTAAAACCTTACATTCACCTTAACTCATTCTGGCGACGACTCCGTCGCTTTGGAAACCAAGATGATCAAGCATAAAGAAGAATTGGATGATTTCTGACATATTCTAAGGGTAGAACATTTTTCACCAAACATTAAAATAACGGCACTCAGAAACCCTCCAGTAACACTAGTAACAATAAAGGGACGGGCGGGAATTTACACCAAACTCTACCGGTGGAGATGAATTCTAAAGTTGAAGTATCAAATTAAACGTAATTTATTTTTACAAGCAACTTATGTAAATTAGAAAGAAGAATTGAAAGAGGAAAGCAAACATACAGGCTTCGAAGGACCATTCTCGTTCCTTAAATCGAACCTTAATTCCCGATTCCTTGAATCGAATCATTGCGTTTGTAAAACAAAAAGCTTGCCTTTTGTTGAGCAAAAACATGCATTGAACTAAGGGACATGTTTAATACTCCACGTGACTTGTCTGAAATTCAGTTGATGAAAAAGTCTAGAACTGAAGGGAAATGATGTCGTATCTGATCTGTCCCAGTTTTTCGCTTCGTTTTTCTGACGGTTGGTTTTCTTTAAGTATTAATATTCCCTAAAAAGTATTGTTTAATAGACTGAAGATTTATTTCAATGTTAAAACCGTACAATTTCAGAACTTTTAAAATTGTTGACACAAACCTACACAATTTTCTTTCCGTGCATTTTAGTAAACAACGATTCTAGAATGCTGAATCTACAACGCAGATTCGTACCTGGAAGAAATTCATACGTTTTTCGCTTCTGAGCAGAACATTTACAATTCTATGAATAAAGATTCGGTCTTGAAATATTTCTTTAATGTTTTTGCCTTGCCATTTATTTATAGTTACCCGGTAAGCCCAACCAGTTGTTATAGACTTTTTTTTATTCTATCGGCGGAAATGATTTCTAAAGTTGAAGTATCAAATTAAATGTAAATTTTTTTTAAAAAGCAACTTGCCTAAATTAAAAAGAAGAATAGAATGAGGAAAGTAAACATACAGGCTTCAGAGGACGATTCCTGTTCCTTAAATCGAACCTTAATTCCTGATTCCTTGAATCGAACCATCATGTTTGCTAAACAAAAAGCTTGCCTTTTGCTGTGCAAAAACATGCATTGAACAAAGAAACATGTTTAATACCCACGTGACTTGTCTAAAATTCATTTGATGGAAAAGTCTGGAATTGAGAGTAAATGGTGTTTTATCTGATCAGCGCTTCGCTTTTCAAACGGTTAGCATTATTTTTAAGTACTGATATTTCCTAAAAGTATTGTTCAGTAGAAGATTTATCTTGATGTTAAAACCGTACAGTTTCAGAATTTTGAAAATTGTCGAAACAAACCTACACAATTTTCTTGCCGTGTGTTTTAGCAAACGACTATTATAGTGTGCTGATCCAATCTACCAAACGGATTCGTACATGCAAGAAATTCGTTTGTTTTTCGCCTCTGAACAGAAAATTTACAATTCTTTGAATAAAGATTCGGTCTTGAAATATTTCTTGGCCGTTTTTGCCTTGCCCTTTATTTCTAGTTTACAAGTAAACCCAACACAGTTGTAATAGACTCAAAAAGAAATACGGTCATTCATGATTTCTTAATGTATATTACAAGAGACATATCATTCAGGAATTTTTCATTTCACCCCAAAAGCTTTCAGTCATTTTTATGTAAAAGAAATTAGGCCATTTACTGCATGCATAAACTAACAAACAAGGCGTGAGTGACTTTCAGAACGGTCATTGATGATCTCTTAACATGATTTACATGAGGTAAAATATCTTGGATTCTATTGGTTTAGTTACACTTAAAGTACATACCTCAGTGAGCATTGAACGATTTTCAAGTTTTGTTTTTGTTACCTACAGCAGCACTCAAAAAGCCTCAAATAACACTTGGATCAGTAAAAGGAAGAACTGACTTCGGTCAAGCTTGACTGCCTCAACGGTAATCCTGTCGAAATTCTTCATTTTATAGGGTTTTCCTACGAAATACGTGATGGCTAGTTTGAATAAATAAATATAACAGCTGTAAAGGAAGATGACTAGTAAAATGCGTCAATATATCAAATGACTTCATACTTTACAGGTGCAGACCATATTTTTTTGCCCATTTCCGCTTTCCAAAAATATTCTCAAATTGCCTTACGGTGGGCATTTTGTTTGGAGGGAACGAGTTTCTTTCAAGGCTTGCTTTAGATTCCATGATTCTACTTTTATGAAACCGTAAACCATGGAAACATCAACGGAATCAGATAACAGGAAGTTTACCATTCCCTCATATTCCAGCTACCTCGCGCTTCCTTCTACGATTTGACTTTCGTTTATTTTTTACATCAGATAGATCTCAAATAAGACCTATCACTCTTCTTATTATTATTCTGCCCACGACTCTGTCCTTTTTCGGGAAACCTCGATCGGAAGAGATGAATTCAAAATGTTCCTCTAAGAAATTTTCTAAAATAGCTTAAAATTGTCATTTTGCCTGAGTTTATAAACGAGAGTTGAAAGAGAAAGGTAAATATACAGGCTTCAGAGGACGAATCTTCTACTTCTTAGAATAGAACCATTATGTGAGTAAATATAACACTCGCTTTTTTGTGCTTAAACATTATGAATTAAACAACGGGATATGTCTACCATCACAGGTGACCTGCCTGAAATTCAGTTCATGAAAAATTATACAACTGGAGGTAAATGATGTTCTATCTGATATCAGTTGGTAAACGAAAGGTGGTGAAGCTGATAACAACCAATTAAACGGACTTGTTTCTTAGCGTTCGTTCAAAATGGGAGGAGTCGACGTAAAAGCAATTTGATTATTCAGGCGGCAGATATTTAAAGCTGAAACGACATGGACATTAAGTGTTAATTTGCCCTATTATTTTCCTGGCTATGCAAATGGTCAAGTTATTCCCAAACATGATCACGAGCGAAAAACGCGAACGTGAAACGAATTTCACAACTCATGTAAAGAGCTTCTGAGTTATTTTTCTCATCTTGTGCCTTCGGCGATAAAACCTGTCGACAGGTAGCTATAAACGGTTTACAGTTGAACGAGGGCAAATGTAAGGAGCTACGCATCTCATTTTCAAGATCCTCACCTGACTTTGACCTAATTGTAGTCAATAGTAAGGAGTTAGAGTGCGTTCATAAAGCTAAGATGTTAGGTGTCACCTTCTCTGTTGATCTTAAATGGAACGCGCATGTAGATGAGATAGCAAAGAAAGTCAACAAGCGGCTTTACTTCCTAAGCCAAATAAAGCGCGCCCAAGTTAAGTCTAAGGAGCTCGTTTAAATTCATCTTACACGTATTAGATCTGTTATGGAATACGCATGCGCGCTCTTTCACAGCAGCCTACCTCAATATCTATCAGTTGATTTAGAAAGATGCCAGAAGTGCGCATTACGTATAATTTTTCCTGATAAAGAATATGACGAGGCGCTACCGTGCACTGGGCTTATCTCGCTGCATGAGCGGGGCAAGAATATTGCCAACAAGCTCTTTTCTAACGTTCCTGTACTAGGTCACAAGCTGCATAAGCTCTTGCCGCCCAGGAATATATCTAGAGTGGACTTAAGAAAAAGTGCGCTTACAGTTATGCTTTAGATTCCGTTATTCTGCTTTTTTCGAAATCGTAAGCCATGGAAACATCAATAGAATCTGATTAAAAATGTTTCAATCCTTTCACACTCCATTTACCTCTTGCTTCCTTCGATGATTTGAATTTCAGCCTTTTTTTCTACATTAGATGGATTGCAATTAAAACCTTATATTCCTCTTAATTTATTCTGGTGACGACTCAAACGCTTTGGAAACCTAGATCATCAAGCAAAAATAAGGACTAGATGATTTTCTGACATTTTTTTAAGGATAGAACATTTTTCCCCAAATGTTAAAGTAATGGCACCCAGACACCCTCCAATAACACTAGCAGCAATATAGGGCCAGGCGGAAATTTAGGCCAAACTCTATCGGCGGAGATGAATTCTAAATCTAAAGCCATAACCCGTTCTAGTGTGAAAAACCACTTGTTATTTCCAATCGTACTCCCACAGTTCACAATGCAAGGT